TTTGCAGTATCCTTACCCTGGAGTGGGGGGGGAATGGGGATTTTGCAGTATCCTTACCCTGGAGTGGGGAGGGAACGGGGATTTTGCAGTATCCTTCACCTGGAGTGGGGAGGGAACGGGGATTTTGCAGTATCCTTACAGTATCCTTCCCCTGCCACGCCCACCAAATCACACCCACGGAACTGGTAGTAAAATTTTTGAATCCCACCACTGTTGAGAGGGCTGCGTGCAACCCTCACGAGCTCTGTTTTCACTACCAGCAGCACCGCGAGCCAGTCCTTTGTTATTTCTAGGGCAGCCCCCCCCCCCCCTGGGCCAGAACTAAGCCTTGAGTTTGACACCCTTGTCCTACAGGATGGAGGGTTTTTTTTTAGGACTGGACTATTTGACCGAGGTTCCTAAATACATAATATGCTAATATTCTCTGTCTTCTGATATTAACAGGCCTGAATCCCGATTATGGACCACGATGCTCCTGCTGGGAACCTGCCTGCTGTACTGCGCCAGGGTCCTAATGCCCATCTGCGTGGTCACCATGAGCTCTCGCTTTGACTGGGACAAGAAACAATCCGGAATTGTGTTGAGCAGCTTCTTTTGGGGTTATTGCCTGACCCAAGTTGTCGGAGGCCACTTGAGTGACCGGTATGAACAATATTACGTTAAATCAGGGGTGTCAAACGCGATTTCACTGAGCGCCGCATCAGGGTTGTGTCTGACCCCCAGGGGGCACGGGCGGCGTGGCCAGAGGGCATGGCCAGCTCGACATCACTCCTGTTGGGGGCCCCTGTGGTGGCTCGAGTGCTTTGCCTGTGAAAACGGGCTCCCGAGTAACAGCTAAGTTGAAGTGCCCATTGATGTGAGTGACAATGAGTTGGTCACACCCACCCAGTCACATGACCACCGAGCCCTCAGCCCTGCCTACCTAGGCGGTCATTAGGACAGAGAACCGGTTGTTAAATTATTTGAATCCCACCACTGACACACACACACACACCGAGGGGTGTTAAGGGGGTCTTATCCCCAGAGTATTTGTTTCCAGAGAGTAAGTCACCTGTGTACCAGGTTTGGTTGAAATTGCTTGAGGCGTTCCAGAATTATGCTGGAACACACACACACAGACACACAGACACACACACACAGAGCCATTTTTGTATATAGATAGATAATATCCATGCACGATGAAGAGATAAACCTGGTTTCTTAAAAATGGTTCCACCACAAATCCGCAAAGCCCTTATCCGCGGAGACATAAGCGCGAAGACTAATTCGCTCCGTTCGAAGCGCTAAGGAAAAACGCGACCCTACCGTGAGGACATAATTGCGGAGGGCAAATCTGCCCATTCCCAAGCACTCAGTACCCTAAACCTAACCCTAAACCTAACCCTAAACCTAACCC